CAATCCACGTGAAAGAGATTTAGGAGTCTTAGTAAACCACAAGCTGAAAATGAATCAGCAGTGTGATGTGGTGGCTAGAAAAGCCAACATGATTCTAGGCTAAATCAATAGGATTATTGCATCTTGATTGTGGAAAGTGAAAGCATCACTCTATTCTAATTTTACGTCTATTTTTATGTGTTATGGCATTTGTGTGTGCTTCTGTAAGCTGCCCCAAATCATTCTGGAAGACGGTGGCATAAATAAAGTTGTTGTTATTATTTACATTGTTCAGAACCAGGAACATTACCTGGAGTACTGCATCCAATTCAGGGCACCATGATCAAGGAGTATATTGATAAGCTCGAACTTGCTTAGAGAAGGGCAACCAAAATGATCAAAGTTCTGAAAACCAAGCCTTTTGAGGAACAGCTTATGGAGCTGGGTATGTTTAGCTTGATGAAAAGAAGACTGAGAGGGGACATGATGTTGAAATATTGGAAAGGATGTCACATTGAGGAGGGGGCAAGCTTGGTTTTTCCTACTCTAGAGACATGGACACAGAGCAACGGATTCAGGCTGCAGGAAAAGAGACCCCATCTTCCTGACAGCCCAAGCTGTTCAAGTCGGAATGTGGTGGGGTCTCCTTCTCTCGGGGTTTTTAAGCAGAAGCTGAATGACCATCTGTTGGGAGTGCTTTGATTATATGTTCCTGTATGGCAGAATGGAGTTGGACTGGATAGCTCACGGGGGTCTCTTCTATGGTTCTATACCAGGCATGGGCAAACTTTGGCCCTTCGGGTATTTTGGACTTTAACTCCCACATTTCCTAACTGCTCATAGGCTGTTAGGAGTTTTGGGAGTTGAAGTTCAAAACACCTGAAGGGCCGAAGTTTGCCCATGCCTGTTTTATACTATCCTGTGTTTATGCACCCTTAGGATACAAATATCATTGGCATTGCAACTCCTCCCCTCCCTGTCTTTTTGGCTTTTTAGTGAGCCTTCCTCTTTTATGCAGATTAAGATGGAAAAGGCCAGGGTGGAGTGAGTCACCTGTTGGCACCTGGCTTGCCCACCTCTCCCTGGCTGGGCAGGTGTAAGCCCCATCCCTCCCTCGGCAGTGCCAGCTGGTGTCCTGTTCACAAAGGGTTTCGTGTTGTTCATTGCTGGGCCAGATCAGGCTAAGAGTATGAAATAGTAATGAGGTTCCCTCTCTCCCCCCGCGGCCTCCCCCAGCCCTGGCCCTCTAGAGTTTCCTCCTGGCTCGGCTACTGTCTGCTCAGAGTCGTTCCCCCCCTGAGCTTGAGCAGGACAATGGAGGGGACGTGGAGGTGCTGACAGGGACCCTCCCTTTCGGGATCATAACCTGCAAAGGTAACTGGGCGGAGGTGGGATGGGGGATGATATACATCCACACTCTCCTTGTAATGAGAGGAAGCTCTTAAAGGGACAGGCAGAGAGGAGATTTAGCAGTAGACCAGCAGCAGAGAAGCTTCTGGTCTGTTTCATTTGCTTTTGATTTGACTCTTGTTAGCTCCCCTTTCCAATGCAGGCAGTGCTTCTCATTCTGTGATTTGACTTTACAACTCCAAACAGCTTTCCTCATGCTATTTTTGGTTCTGGAGTGTGGAAATACTCTTACCCAATATTTCTCAAACTTACCTCCAGATGTTTTGGATGTCATCTCCCATAATTCCTAACAGCTGGTAAGCAGGCTGGCATTTCTGGGATCTGAAGTCCAAAACATGTGGAGGAGAACAGTTTGAGAAACAGGCTCTAAGGGCCTTTCCACACAGCCATATAACCTAGAATACCAAGGCAGGAAATCCCACGATATCTGCTTTGAACTGAAATATATGGCAGTGTAGACTCTACCATAGCAGATATTGTGGGATTTTCTGTTTTGATGGATGTGTGGAAGGGCCCTAAGCCATGCACTTGCAGGACTGGAAGTGGAGTCTCTGTTGTTGCAGTAGACACAGGGTATGCAGGGTCAAAAATAGGAGATTTATTGAATTGCTCAGGTTATGTTGTCATTTTCCAGCTCTGCCCCAGGCAGTCCACAGATAGATACACCAAATAATGGATTTGGAAGAGACTACAAGGGCCATCCAGTCCAATTCCCTGCCAGGCAGGAAAATATAGTCAGAGCATTCCCAACAGATGGCCATCCAGCCTCTACTTACAAACATCTGGAGAAGGAGATTCCATCACACATTGGAGCAGCATATTCCACTATCAAAAAGTTGGAAATGCCAGGAAGTTCTTCCTGTTGCCTGGGCCTAAATATTCTAAAGGTTCTAGATCCTATCAGATCTTGGAAGCTGAGCAGCCCCAACCTTGGTTATTGCTTAGATGGGGAACTGACCAGAAATGCCTGGTCTTGTAGTCTACATTTCAGATGAAAGAACTGGCAGCACGACCCCTGAGTATGAAATTTATGGGGTGTCCATAAGTCTAAAGATGATTTGAAAACACATATTCACACACAGAGCATCCTGTTGCGAGTTATCTTTGTTACACAAAATATTTCGGGATACCTTAACTGCCCTACAGCCAATTAAGAAGCACAGACTATACAGAAGACCTGTGTCTGGTGAAGATAGTCTAATATTCTAGTTTTGTGATATGTTTTGGTGGTTTGGACTGTCTTGGTTTAGTTTTCATCCTTCAGGAGACCTTGTTGGAGAAAAAAATAAGGCCCCTATATGTTGGGAATCACTGTAGAGCAGTGGTTCTCAACCTATGGATCCCCAGAGTTGCCCAGAAATCCTAACAGCTGATAAATTGGCTGGGATTTCTGGGAGTTGTAGGCCAAAACACCTGGGGACCCACAGGTTGAGAACCACTGCTGTAGAGCAAGACGGGGTCCCTCAAAGAGACAAAGACGATCAGCAAGCAGTCTCTTTCTGGTACATGAACTAGCTGTGAAGGTGCAAGGGTCAAGATAGTTGCATTAGTCCAGTGCAGAAAGCCATGTGCAGCATGTGCTATCGATTGCTAGATACGAGATCAATGGGTAGAACATATTATTTCTATTTTTGTTTTCCCAATGTTTTGGTTCAGATTTCTTCAAGTTTGGACATTATTGTTAAATGAAGTGCTTAATGGTACAAAGGGAGAAATGGATGTTGATAGAATTCTATGAATATCAACTTTTGTGGAATGTTGAATTGTTCAGGATGCCACACTCCAAGATACTCGAGCTGGCAATAACTGTGAGGTTTGAAGGAAATTTGATGTCATTCCCAAATTCTATGCTGCTTAATTGACTTTCAGATGATTGAGATTGGAAAGAGACTTCCAGGCAAATTTTCACCATATGCAGAAGGGAATTTATATATTTAGGAACCTGTCGATCCTGAAAATCAGGGTGTGAATCCTTGCTCAACCATGAAAACTCATTGGGAGACCTTGGGTGAATTGCACACTCTCAGCCCCAGAAAACCTGTTATATGGTTGCTTTAGAGCAGTTGTTCCTAACCTGTGGTCCTCAAGAACAAAAATGTGGTCTGTGGCCTCACAATTATTACACCGTTGCTTCAAAACCATGTGGCAATGAGAGCAACTAGTTTCTCAAAACCCTCTTATAGTGCTGAGGCAACGGGGATGTCAGGAGGGGAGAGGCTGACTACCCACAAAAGATTACTACTACCACATTAGCTCTAGATTATTAAATATGGTTTTCTGTGGGCGAGCAGATGGTAACTACTGGATGGCATATGTTCCATATCAGAAACTAAAGCAGATGTGGTCTGTCCAATGCAATTTTCTGATTCAGCATCCCAAATAACCAAAGAGAATCTGATTTGTAACCCTTTTGGTACTAATATTGGTGAGTGGTCCCTGGTCAAACTGGTCCCTGGTCAGAAAAAGGTTGGGAACCACTACTTTAGAGTCACCATAGACTTGAAGGCACACAACATCAAAGTTTGTTTTTTTTTGGGAGCCAATGTAGTGTAGTGTTGGACTATGATTCTGTAAATCAACCCATGACAATTTCGCATCAGGGTTGACAAAAGTCATAAATGATTTGAGGGCACATAATAATAATACATGTTTTTGATGCATCTTTCCTCAAAGCGAAGAACACAAATAAAAACAATGGTGGTGAATAAAGAACACAGTTTTAAAATTCACTTTACTAGTATGACTAGGATCATGTAAAACATAAGTGACCTATTGTAATGATCGAGATTGTAACCCAAAGTTGGTTAAACAGGCAAACAAAAAGTCTATATATCTTGAAACAACTGATGGGACAGATTGGTGCTGTACTATACTTGCATAGTCAAGGGGCCACCACCAATGACAGGATGCATTACTTGAATATATAAAACTGAAAAGGAAAATGGGTTCCCTTGGAACTAGAAAGACCAGTATCCATTAATTGCAGTGATGCAAAAGTATCTAAACACATAGATGTTGAATGTATACATACAAATACAAATGTCAGTGAAACATAAGATTGTTGCATTCATGTTAAACAGAAATAATTTGTTCTTTTCTGAAAAGATTAAAAAAATCCTGAGAAAAGAACAAATTATTTCTGTTTAATGTGAATGTAACAATCCTATGTTTTATTGGCATTTGCATTTGTATAGATACATTGAACTTCTGTGTGTTCAGATACTTTTGCATCCCTGCAATTAGTGGATACTGGTCTTACTTGAAAATATACCCATAAATGTTTTGAAGACGGTGGATAATGTAACATCTAGAAAAAAAATATATTGTTGCTGCGCCAGGCGGAGGAGCAGAATAACAATGAAAAGGAGTGACACCTACTGCTTCCCCAAACAAGACGTTTATAATAGGTAAGGCGGCATCTTTGTAAATTGTGTTACTTAATATGCAAGCTTTAAGTTTGCACTGAACTCTTCATGAACCAGAATGAGAAAGTAGCTAAGGAGAAGGTAGCCACAGTCGATTCTCGCCTTTTCCTCAGCAGACCAAGTCTGTCTCTTGAGTTCTGCAAAACAAATGGTAGAGTGACATTGGACCATCTTTTCTTCTAATAGGAAGTGAAGGAACAAGCCGTGAAAACACTTGACTTTGCTGCGGATAGCAAGGAGTCCAGTCCCTGTGACCCATGGGACCCACTGTGCATTTTGGTGCCCCAGTGTGAACTCTACGTCTGTGTGGGCTCCGAGGACAGAACTGAGAGGTAAGCATTGCTCGTGAGTCTGGGAGATAGACAAGGGATTGTATTTATTCATTTGATAAAATAACATTCCCAGATAATCATACAAAGGAACAGAAGCCATTTTGGGATGGATAATTCCCTACTTCATGAATGATCAGGAAGATACATAGCAAAATGGTGAGAGTGATATACATGTGAGATTTAAATGTTACTTTTGCGGAGGCTCTCCCTTTAGATATGTGGACTACAACTCCCATCATCCCCAGCCAGTAAGGTGTTAATGAAATCCATGTTCTGGTCCTCACTCTGCTCATTGGGTCACTCTCAGCTTAGTTTACCTAACAGGGTTATTGTAAGGCTAAAACAGGAAGAGGGAAAGGGTGACCTGTACATGGCTCCCTGAGCAATTTGAACGAAGGCTGAAATAAACATCTCATAAATTAATAATCCTATTGTAATACATGGATAGTGCTGTTTGCTAGGGCAGCTACCTAGTTAGAGAAATTTGAAATGAGTTTTAAAATGATTAGTGAATTAGATCTTGCATATTCCTAAGGGAATGCTTTCTCAGAGTTGTGCATTCATATTTATATTGCTACCTATGTATATCCCACAACAGATCTTCAGTGTTTAGGTGCAGGGAGGAGGTGGCTGCTTATACATTGCTACAAAAAGAGGAAACACGTCCATAAACGAAAAGAGAGTAAAGGAGAGTGCAGATCTGCATAAAATTTGCATACATCGATTTTATATCTATATGTAAAGCCAGAAATTCTTAGACAGTAAAAAGAAAAGAAATGCATCTTGTCGTAGCAAGGAAGATGGTGACCAGGTGATTTGCGTGTTTCTTTCTTAAGGCTGTTGTTGCTTGTCATTACTGTCATTACTGTTGATGAGCAGCTATAATAATAATAATACACTTTATTTATATTCCACTCTATCTCACTGAGGGGACTCAGAGTGGATTACAGTATCTATATATATAAATTTGTTAGGGGCATCCAACGAGGAAACAAAACTCAAAAACCCCCAACGAAACTTAACCAAAATTCCCATGCCCATAACACAACCCACAAGGTACAAACATATCTACTCAAAATGAAAAACAACACAACAACACACTCACAAAACGACAAAACAACAAAACTCAAAAAAACCCCAACGAAACTTAACCAAAATTCCCATGCCCATAACACAACCCACAAGGTACAAACATATCTACTCAAAATGAAAAACAACACAACAACACACTCACAAAACGGCAAAACAACAAAACTCAAAAAAACCCAACGAAACTTAACCAAAATTCCCATGCTCATAACACAACCCACAAGGTACAAACATATCTACTCAAAATGAAAAACAACACAACAACACACTCAAAATGGCAAAAAAACAAAACTCAAAAACCCCCCAACGAAACTTAACCAAAATTCCCATGCCCATAACACAACCCACAAGGTACAAACATATCTACTCAAAATGAAAAACAACACAACAACACACTCACAAAACGGCAAAACAACAAAACTTAAAAAAACCAACGAAACTTAACCAAAATTCCCATGCCCATAACACAACCCACAAGGTACAAACATATTACTCAAAATGAAAAACAACACAACAACACACTCAAAACGGCAAAAAAACAAAACTCAAAAAAAAACCCAACGAAACTTAACCAAAATTCCCATGCCCATAACACAACCCACAAGGTACAAACATATCTACTCAAAATGAAAAACAACACAACAACACACTCACAAACGGCAAAACAACTGAGCATGCGCATTGGCGCCCAGCCGCAAGTTCCCTGGCGCGCGCACATGCCCTTCCGGCCAACGTTCCCTCTGCGGAAACCATGCCCACTCCAAGCCCCGCCGCGCCGCTTCCCGCACACACACACACCCTGCCGCACACACACACACAACCCCACACTCCATCACTCCCCCCGCCGCCGCACACACACACGCAACCCCACACTCCATCACTCCCCCCGCTGCCGCACACACACACGCAACCCCACTCCCCCCGCCGCCGCACACACACACGCAACCCCACGCTCCATCACTCCCCCGCCGCCGCACACACACACGCAACCCCACTCCCCGCCGCCGCACACACACACGCAACCCCCGCTCCATCACCCCCCCGCCGCCGCACACACACACGCAACCCCACGCTCCATCACTCCCCCCGCCGCTGCACACACACACACAACCCCACGCTCCATCACTCCCCCACCCCAATCTTACCTCCTTTTACTTCACGCCCCCTCCAAACCCCACCCCGCCCCTTCCCGCCCTGTCAAAATCTAGGAAAGACAGGAAGGAAGGAAAGAAGGAAGAAAGAGAAAGGGAGGTAAAGAAAAAGGGGGAAGGAAGGAAAGTTAGAGAAAGAAGGAAGAAGAAAAGGAAAGAAAAGGAAAGATGGAAGGAAAGAAAAGAGAGACAGCAGAAAAGAAAGAAAAAGGGGGAAGGAAGGAAAGAGATAGAGAAAGAAGAGGAGAAGGAAAGATGGGAGGGAGGGAAGGAAGGAAGGAGGGAAAGAAGGAGAAGAAGAGGGAAGATTGGCCACAGCAACACGTGGCGGGTAAAGGTTGTTATTTCTATTATTATTATTATTTATTATTATTATTATTATGCTATTATTCCTATGAGACCCTGGGGGAATGGGAGAGGTGTCAGGTCCCAGAGGCAATGCATTGCATTATTGTTATTGTTATGATGGTGGTGAAATAAAAGGAAATAAAAAGTGAAAGAAGGAAGCAAACAGGGAGGGAAGAAAGGCAAAGGAAGAAAGGGGGAGGGAATGAAGGAAAGAGAGAAGGATGAAACCAAGTAGTGAAAGAAAGAAAGAGTTAGAGAAGGAAGAAAGGAGAGAAAGGGGGAGGAAAAGGGGGAAGGAATAGGTAGGTACCTCTCTTTCATAATAGTCCAGATATCTACCTCAACTTTGAAAAGTTTTACTATAGGCCACAGCAACGCGTGGCAGGGCACAGCTAGTACACATATATAGGCAAACATTCAATGACTTTTATACAGTGAACAATGACATACAATACACAAAGAAATGCAAAGGTTTCCCTTTCTATCTCCAGCATCTGGAGGCAATGCTCCACTCTAGCCATGAGGAGGTGCTCTTGTTCCATTTTTCCATGCCAAGGAGCCTGTTGTCTGTAGACTCTCCTGCTCATGTTGCCGGCATGGCTGCATGGACACCTTGTATCTTCCTGCCAAGGCGGTATCTATTGATCTAATCACATTACATGTTTTCAAACTGCTAGGTTAGCAGAAGCTAGGGCTAAGAGTGGGAACTCACCCTGACCCATGACTTCGGACTGCCAACCTTCCGATCAGCAAGTTTTTCTGCACAGCAGTTCTCAGTGACTCTAAAATATATAGTTGGCTCTCCTCATTTGCTGATTTGATTATTCACAGATTTGATTAATATGGTCTCTCCAGACATCTCAAACATTTTCCATCACAACTCTTACCAGGCCTGTAGCCAGGATTTCGATTCGGGGGGGGGGGGGGTGAGTTTTTTTCAGGGGGGGTTCGGGGGGGCTGAGTTTCGGGGGGGGGGTGAGTCTGAGTGAAAGAGGGTCTACCCTAGCAAACCTTTTGTATCATTACCCCAATACCCCCATGCATATGGGATATATTGAGTATGGTGATCAGATCATGATATGAATAAACATAACAGTTTAAATAATGCACCAGTAAGGCTTTTCGCGAACCACCATGAGAATTTCAGGGGGGGGGCTGAAGCCCCTCAAGCCCCCCCCCCCCCCCCCCCCCCCCCCCCCCCCCCCCCCCCAAGAGTCCTAGGGCCCTTCCACACAGTCCTATATCCCAGAATATCAAGGCAGGAAATCCCACAATATCTGCTTTGAACTGAATTATCAGAGTCCACACTCAGATAATGTGGAATTTTCTGTCTTGATATTCTGGGATGTAGGGCTATGTAGAAGGGTCCCTAGATGATGTTATCTCAAATTTTAAAAAAACGCATTTTCATTCACAAATTTTCCATGTCCATGGGTGCCCTGTGTCCCTTTCCGCAGCAAATGTGGAAGACTGGCTGTATTAAAAACTACACTGTTTATTTAGAGTTACAACCACCTTGAAGTCCTCAGATAAGTGATGTCATACACATAGCTTTATCTGTGCATGGAATGGATCTGGATCCAGGCAGTTTTCTGTCTGTGTATTAGTCAAACACATACTTGATTAGTGCCAACAAGATTTCTGTAACATGTTCCTGTAAATACTGACTTACCTTATAGGACTTTTGGAGGATTTAATGCAGTAGTGTTTGCTCTTAGCTCTTAAAAGGCAATATAAACTCACATTTTTGGAGGCTACTTTGGTCAACAGGGCTGGACAAAGAGGTTGTTGGTTCTGTTTCTTCCAACCATTATTCATATAGCTGAGAGTGTTTTGTTGTTCACCATAAGTGATGCTATGATCATTTAAAGATGGGCAATTTCGGTAAATTGGGCAATGGTGGTGAATTATTTTGCCACCAGAATTTTACCAGTAAGCCACACATTTTATTTTTGAGGTAGGCAGATAGCATTGCAATGCAGAATCACAACTCCTGGAGTTTTCTGGAGGTGGTATTCTCTTTTTCAAATCCTCACCTATTTTCCAGATTAAAGGAGAGGTTCAGGGCAACATATACCTATTGTTTGCATAATTCCCATACTGGTTTAAAGTTACATGTTGTTGTCACTGCTGTTGAGTGTCTTAATGTGAGTCTTTATCCTACCACAAGCATATCACTTACAGTAGTGCTCTGTATTTGAAATTTGGGGTGGTTGTTAATCATGTATGTCTTACCTGCCCACAGCTGGCAGGAAAGTTTGGAGTACACTCAGCTTAGCTGCAAAGCTGAAGAGGAAACTGAAGAAGCCAGTCCTTGTCCTGATGCCAACACTCCTCTTGGCATTGAGACAGACACCAATGACACGCTTCCCACGGTGAGATGGAAGTGTGTTTATATGTATATTACCGGTACTTGTTAACCTGAAACCTGCACTCCTCTTTTTTAAAATAAATAAATATGTTTTTTCCCCCTGAGCTTCCTTTGCAAAGTTGACCTTTAAACTCATTTTAAAGAGCCATTTGACATCTGATCTACAATTGCTGATGATCTAAGATTACTAGATATTGCCACCCAAAGTGCTTACCTTTTGGTGACCAGTTGCAAAGCAGTATAATTATAATTGCAATATGGGGAGTTGAGGCAAAGCATGTACTGAGACAAAGATCTTTAATTATTTAAAAGAGGGCTGTTTCTGTATATGGTTTAAGTATATTGTGCAGTTAACAAGCTTTTCTTGCCAGTAGATGGAGCCACCTAGATATCCCATGCAGTAGTTTTTTGGGTAACTTGCTAAAAGAGCTCAATTGTTTGTTTTTGACCTCTCAGTGGCCTTAGATAATGTTCTAGATTGTGAGCTGTTTATGGATTGGTATTAGAGCATTTAACTCCACCCTTTAGTAAATGAGATGATGAAAGATTCTGACTTCATGCTACTTAATGTGTCTATTATGTAGGGAATCCTTAGCTCTCCTAATGTTTTGGACTGCAACATCAACAGTCTTTTGCCAATGATTGCAGGGCCTTTCATAGTCCATAGTGTTGGGATGTCAAAGATTTCTCATTTAAATAAAATCAGGAGTTTTTGAGCTGTTACGTTACCAATATGTGGGTGGCATCCAGCTCTAGACCTCCAAGATGCTAAAGATGGAAAAAGCTGATATATATACTGCTATCTATGTATAATTTTGTGTCTTGTTTGTGTATAAAATGGCATTGAATGTTTGCCACATATATATGTTCTGCAATCCGCCGTGAGTCCCCTTCAGGGTGAGAAGGGCGGAATATAAATACTGTGAATAAACAAACAAACACACTTTCATTTCCAAGTCCAAGGGAAACCATAGAAATCCCAATTCAGTGTTAGAGATTACTTGGGGTTAGATGCTGGTGAACAAACTGAAACAAAATCACATTGGTTGGAAAACTCAGAAAATCCAGATAGGAGGGAGTGCAACCTCATCCAAGGAACCATGTTCAGAGTTCGACAGTTCTTTTGGACAGAGACTTCTGTTTTGCCATTGTAGATTAGTATGTTAGTTTTCTGGAGACATCAGATTCTGCACCACTAGTCATGTTTCAGGTTCAGGTTACTGTAATGTGCTTGGCATGGGGCCACTTTTAAGGCCAGCTTGGTAACTTCTGCAGATCAAGGCAGAATGTGGCTACTTGGATGATGCTGTGGACACAGAGAATAGAGAATGTGTCATCAAGCTTGCATCTACTGTAGCTGCTGTCAGTGTATTTCTGGCCCCAGGTCAAAGTGCTGATTTGAGCCAGTAGTGTCCAGGATGGTTTGTGACCAGTATGCTCAAAGGCTCTGTCAACAACATCCATACAAACCTGCCAGCTTATTAAGATGTACTCTGTAGATGCTCCTCATAAGTCTGCTAACAATATCCATAGAGAAATTAATCCTTTTTACTGATGGCTTCCAGGCAATGGAGTTCTGTCTCTCTAGTGAAGTTCCTACAGCTTCAACACTTACTTAAAGGCTTTAAAAGGCAATTTACCCAATGAATTTTCTATAAATAAGTAATTTTGCTATTGCTATGTAATGGGTAAGAACCAGAAAGGTATGCACTCTGAAGAATATGGTTCGAATCCCTACACAACCATCAAAACTAACTGGATGAACTTGAGCAAGTTGCCCTCTTGTCAGCCTTAGAGAAGGGCACAGGTAGAACACCATTGAACATATCTTGCCAAAAAGGCCCTGTTATAGTTTCAATTGAGGAATGCCATAAGAAGGAAAGTACTTGAAGGCACATAACAACATTGATGTAATTAATAGATATAATTATGTCGCTCTTTAATTGTTTTATTGGCATCTTTTTTTGGAAATGTGATAAGGTCAATGAATGAAATACATCTCTCTGTGTCTGCTTCTGATTCAAGGACTGGGAATTGCTACTTATTTAAGAGTTCTATGGTTTGTTTTTAATGGAATTGTTTTTTGTACGTGAGTGTTGTATAGGTCTTATTTTTAGTCCCTTGTACGACCAATTTTCTGAAAGAGCCAAAATGATTCAAACTCTCTCTTTTTTCCACCTTAGGACTGGGAAATGACCAGACTTCTTGACAGCATTTTGGGATCTGACAAAGAAGACATGATGTACTATGCAGGCCAGAAGCAAGCAGTACAACCTGAAAGCCTTCCCTCTGATAGACCTAGATGGGCTGAGGCAACATCATCTGGCAGAACAGAATCCAAGAGTCGTCTGAAAACAGGTACTTGCACTCAGTCTTAGCACTGTCTGCTGGCGCCAATCTTTATCTACATGGCATGAACTGTGTATGTGTGTAACAATGTAATTCGTAGGCTACATGTAGCCCACAATATCATTTTGTGACTACCAGAGCCCCACCTCTGGGGTGTAGCAATTAAGAGATATAGTATCGTCACAAATAAGAAATCTGCCCCTCAAATGAGTTTTTCCTAGGGTATCCAAATTGTTAACATATCATAGTGAGACAAAATTGATCTCATCTAGACCTGCTGAATTTCTTTGCTTACATTCCTACGGTAACTTTGTTTCCTCTTTTTTTTGGGTGCCTAAACTGCATTTCTAAAGGTTTGAGTGACATTTTAAGTTACTGCAGTGTTCGACATTTGAAAGGAGAAGGAAAGTTTCATAGTGGGGAGGCACGTCTTATCAGGAGACAATGCCCTCATTTTGCTGCCTCCTGTAGCTGTATCTCTGTCCTATCCCCTTTTTTCCAGACTATTTCTTTTTGTTTTCAAATACACACAAAAGAATTATTCCTCCAGTGGTCACATAGATTACCCTTCTTTAAAACAAAGGTGTCCATCTTATTTCGGCAGGAATTTCTTCCTTCCTCTACAAAAACTTAAAATTATTTTTTTCCCCAAAAATAGGAACAAGGTTTCAGTTTCACATATTACATATCACAGTTTCTGCCCTAGAGCAGAACTTTCCAAGCTATGTTGCAAGACATAAATGTGTCATAGGAATGCAAAAAGAACCCCCTGAGTCTGTGTGAAATAATCAATAACTCATATATTTTTTAAAAACCTAAACGAAAGATTCTCATTAGATTGGTTGTGTCCCCATACATTTCATTATTAAAGGTAAAGGTTTCCCTTGGCATTGAGTCTAGTCAAGTCCGACTCTGGGGGGTGATGCTCATCTCCATTTCTAAGCCAAAGAGACGACGTTGTCCATAGATGCCTCCAAGGTCATGTGGCTAGCATGACTGCGTAGAGCGCCATTAGCTTCCCACCAAAGTGGTACCTATTGATCTACTCACAGATGGGAAAAGCTGATATATACCTCTACCTCTGTCTTGTTTGTGTATAAAATGGCATTGAATGTTTGCCAAATATATATGTTCTGCAATCCGCCATGAATCCCCTTCAGGGTGAGAAGGGCAGAATATAAATACTGTAAATAAATAAATAAACACATTTTGAACAGCCAGATTGGCAGAAGCTGGAGCTAACAGCAGGAGCTCACCCTGCTTCCTGGATTCGAACTGGTGACCTTTTGGTCAGCAAGTTCAGCTGCTCAGCAGTTTAACCCGCTGCGCCACCAGGGAGCCTCTAAACTGCATTTCATTATTACAATTTATATATGTGTCCATATCTCTTACAAGGCATTCATTTAAACTTTGGTTTAGTAGTAGTAGTAGTAGTAGTAGTAGTTGTTATTATTTCTTACCCACCTCTCCTCATGGTTCAGAGTGAGTTAAAACACAGAAACATTTTTTAAATTCTGTAAATAAACATATTAAATGTATTTCTATAAAATATACATATTAAAACATATTTCTATAGTAAAACCGAATTACTGTGTCACAAAATGGTGCATGTCTAAAAAGAATGCCACCATCATAAAATGTTTGGAAAGCTCTGATCTACAGAATCTCATGACCGAAGAAAAGAACCCTCAGAAGTTTTGATTCCTCAGCAAGGAACTCAAATCCAGTACACTGGTGTAATAAGCATATATTTGCGTGCAGAACGAGATGTAGAAGGTCATGGGAGTGAACCCTGTGGTTTGGGGAATAGCAAAGGTTACCATGGAAGCCCATCCAAACCCTCCTTTTGATTTCTAAGGCTTCTCCAAGCACTGACTATCTGGCCATGAAGACAAGGGGAAAAAACTTTTCTTAAAATGGAAGCTGAGGTTCTAGAAATGAGAGAATTCCTGATCTAGTAATTAGATTTGGCCTCAAAGCTTGGTAAAGTTACTTGGCTGGATTCTAATGCAGAACCCCTGAGCTAACATGGCAAGTGGCCATCCTGGCTGGAAGATTCTGGATGGCATTGTCCAGAACATAACGTTTTCCACCCTCTGATTCTGCCCATGGTATAATGATCTCTTGGAAGAATGGAATGCAGACACGGCCTTGGATTGGCATGGCAAACTTTTTATGCAAGGATTCTCTACTTTCACAACAAAGCCTCTCAACTGAAGAGGTACATTTTGTCCTGAAAGATGAACAAGGGTAGTGCAAAAGCTGCAAACAGGCTGTTGGCAGCAGTGGAAGCACCCTGCAATTGCTCAAGCCAACTGTTTCTCTCCAACCATCCATTTGTATGAGTAATAATAATAATAATAATAATAATAATAATAATAATAATAATACATCACATAGTCTTAGAGACTTGGGAAGTGCCCGACATGTGATCCAAACAAAAAAGTATCAAACATTCAATGCCATAATGAAAACAAACAGACCAAATCAAACCAATAAATGATCAACATCAATATAAACTTATAATGACTAACCAATAAATAAATATATTAGAAACAAAATAAAATAATTAATTAAAAAGCATAATAAAATCTCATCAAACACATTTACTTTGTAATAAAATCTGACCACTAAAGCGCATTATAGTATAAAATAGTGTACAACCACTAACAGAGCCAGGGTGGGTTTCCAGCATCCAATGAGGTTGTATATTAGGATGTTTTAGTCCTCCTCCTCTCCATAGACTAAAGTGTAAAGAGGGGTTTTAAAACGTTTTTTAAAGGAGAGAGGGGTGCATTTTTTGTGGGGCGAGGAGGTTCCAGAGGCGTGGGGCAACCACGGAGAAGGCCCTCTTTCTCGTTCCCACCAACCACACTTGAGATGGGGTGGGATCAAGAGCAATGCCTCCTCCACTGACCACAGTGCCCAGGGTGGTTTATATGTGGAGATGCGGTTAGTCAAATAGCCTGGACCCCAACAGTTTAGGGCTTTTATAAGTAAAAACCAGCACTTTGTATTTAGCCTGGAAGCAGACCGGCAGCCACTAGAGATGCCACAAAAGGGGAGTTTTCCTTTGGCTTCAACAAATTTTCAGGTTAAAATTGTTGTCCTGTCCTTCCCTCCCTTCTGGCATTTCTTGGAGAGTCACCTTTCCCAATTGATGCTTTTCTGTTGCATTGTGTTCTCCATTTCATCACCCTAGGTAATATGGTTTGTGCTGCTTAGGACCGATGGAAGTTGTAGCCCAACACATCTGGAGAGTATTCCAGTTGAGATGAGGTAGATGTAGGTATTTTTTAACAATTGGCTATAGAGCTATACTGATTTACACACCAGTTAGTAAACAGAGTTAGTGATGAAACATGCTAAAATCAATGGGAGACTTGCGTTTTCCATCAGCATAGTTCAGGGGTTTCCATGCTACCCAATGTAGGCAAAGCACGTGCCCCCAAACAAGTCCCCTCCCCACTGCCTCCCCAGATTTCTTTTCACATATACAAATTGCATTCATATTATAATCAGGGATAGGCCCTGAGCAATTTTTTTTTATCCTAATGATTTTTTTAATGACCCTGCAGTTTGCCACCACAACAGGATGCAGTTTGCCCCTTCTATAGTTCCCCTTGATTCCCTTTCCTCTGGTGTGGCCATTGTGCCCAGTTCTGACATAGACACAACTATGCTAAGAGAAGGGCTACCAACACCCACTTGGCATACCATCTTGGCTGTTTGTTTGCTCCGTTCCCTCCCTAAACATTCCCATCCTTTGAGCATGAGAGGAATCTTATTTCTCTTCCTCACAGAATGCAGAACTATGAGCCAGGACGATGGGGACAGTAAGAGGAAACGTCAAGCTGAGAGCAGCTATTTCTCTCTGGAGCGTCAGAAGTCTGACCCACCTCGGGCATCATCGCCATCCGCTGCGGGACGTAGTACCTTACCTGTCCATGGCAGTGCCAAGGCAGCAGGTGGAATGCCCGCTTCCTCTGTTAGCTCAGCAGACTCAGACATGAGCTGGAGGACAAGTGGCAGCCACGAAAGTCGGCATGGACTGATGAGGCAGGAGTACACGGTGTTGGCAGACGTACCTAAGACAAAGCGGCTCAACCATCGGCAGGCATTTGAGAAAGACCGCAGCAGCTCCCGCACCCAAAGTCCTGGCCGAGCAGAGGTGGAACGCATCTTTGGACTTGAGCGCAGGTGAGACATAAGATAGTCAAGGTCGAGAAGTCTTTTGTTGCTATTCTCTTACACAAACTATTGCAGGACTAAATTAATCTTTATGATAATATAGCATAGTGAAAATCTGTGCTATACGGAAGCCACATCAATGTCTGCTCTAGAACCAGGGGCGGCTTAACCCATTATGCAAAGTAAGCATTTGCAGTATAGTTGATTTTACCCAGGGGTGCTCTTGAGGGAAAATAGACCTTGACATATGCAAGTTGTAGTTACTGGGATGTATACCTCACCTACAATCAAAGAGCATTCTGAACTCCACCAATGATGGAATTGAACCAAATATGGCACATAGAACAGGAAATATATATCAGTGATTGGTTGGCGGGGGGGAATGCTGTTTTCTGGGGAAGGGCCTATGCTTGAATCACCAGAGTGGTGACTTTTGCTTTAAACTATTTGCTTTTAAAATCCTGACTTACCACCAAAACAAACAAAATAAGGACAAACTTGAAAGTGGACATTTTCCCTCAATTTTGAAAAAGGTTTAACCACACAAACCAAAATCTGTGTTGGGTTATTCTATGCCTTCAACTTGTTTCTGATTTATGGAGACCTTCTCAGATTGTGATTTGCAAATATCTCCTAGCGGGTTTTCACAACTAAGCACAGAACCCTGGTCTCCAGAATCCAATGGTCAAGTCACTACACCACTCTGGCTCTTCCTCTATTGGGTACTGAAGGCAAACATTGCTTGTATCATTTAAAAATAATGCTAGGTGTATTGTCGAAGGCTTTCATGGCTGAAGTCACTGGGTTTTTGTGAGTTTTCCAGGCTGTATGGCCAGGTTCCAGAAGCATTTTCTCCTGACGTTTCACCTGCATCTATGGCAGGCATCCTCGGAGGATGTGAGCTCTATTAGAAACTAGGAAAATGGGGTTTATATATCTGTGGAATGTCCAGTGTGGGAGAAAGAACTCTTGTCTGCTTGAGGTAGGTGTGGATGTTTCAGTTGACCACCTTGATTAGCATTTAATGGCCTAGCAGTTTCAAAATCTGGCTTCACACCTGCCTCAAACAGACAAGAGTTCTTTCTTCCACCCTGGACATTCCACAGATATATAAACCTCATTTTCCTAGTTTCCAACCGACCTCACAACCTCTGAGGATGCCTGCCATAGTTGCAGCTGAAACACCAGGAGAAAATCCTTCTGGAACATGGCCATACAGCCCAGAAAACTCACAACAACCCAATAATGCTAGGGTTTTTTTTTTAAATGTATAAGAATTTGTAACAGATAAAAATGCATCAGAATTTGCAAGGGATACACATTCTGAGCAATTAAGGGCAAAGAAAGTGGAATACAAATGCTGTGTTTTTGATGTAACTTGAATATATGCTAGCCTGGAATAAAGAGAAACTGAAAGGCTTCCTCACACACTTAGAAGAGGAGAAAGATTTCTCTTTTGCCCTCCAGGTCAGGAAGAGACCTTATGGGGTTACACATGAATACAATTTATCTGACAACAAAAGTATGATAATCAAAGATCTCTGTATTTCAACATTGCTGGCCCTGAGTCCACTTTATTACTAGTGCTTGAAGTCTGTGCACAGGCTGCAGGCTAGCCTATAAACTGGAGCACATGGTCCAATAGGTTCCTTGCAAGTGTGCTCAGAGAACCATTGGAATTCAGTTCTAATTGTAGGTAATAATAACTGCCTTCCCTTCCCACCCACCTCTTTGTTGTTAGGAAGTCAGAGACCCTGGAAGCGTTCCAAGCCCTGGAGGAAGGGCTCTTAGAGCGGCTGGACAGTAAGAGCTTGAAGCTGGCCAAGGAGGGGCGGCTTGTGAGGAGGAAGTCAAGCCCTACACTGCGCAAAGAAGTGAGTGGCTAGTCCATAAGGTGTAACAGTTGTAATAATAGCAGCAGCAATTGGCTCCCATCCAATCCCTTTTTCATTCTCAGTAAGCTTCCCTGGGCAGGCTGCCATTTCTTCTGATAATTCTTGTATCCAACTGTACAAAAGCAGGGAAACCACCAAACAGGGATGTCATGAAGATGTGGCTAGGAGAGCTGATTCTGAACCAAAGGCATGAGATTCCCTCTCCCCGTGTTACATTTAGCAACAAAGTGCCAGAATAGTAAATAAAGAAGCCTTCCTTCTCTTTTTTTTCCTGTTTAGCCTCTTCCAGCAAACAAGAAACTGCTTTGGGAGTCTGGACAGCCCAGTAAAAGTGGAGGAGAATCGCTGCGCTCAGGGAGACAGACTCAGAGACCTGAGAGAACAGGTCGGAGCCAAGGCGAGTCTCTACGCTCGAGGAGTCCAGCTCAACAGCCTGAGAGAGAGAGCCGGAGCAGAGGAGCAGGGGTCCAACATCCGGCAGCTCCGCTCTCTCAACGGGCAGAGAAGAAGAGACCAGAGGAGCCTGTGCGAACCACGAGAGTCCCCCTTTGTTCTGGGAGGCAAACAGATAGTGGTCGGAAAAGCCACCCAGAGAGTGTGCACCTCAAGGTCTCCAGCAAGACCCCAGAGACCAAATGGAAGACCTGCCTGGATGTCTTGCACGTGACCAAACCTACAAAGAGTGTAGACAAGAGTCAGGTGAGTCACATGAGGCCACTTGAGAGATACAAAGAGAGTGACCGCAAGGCCAGGGGCAAACCTTTGCTCCCTGTAGATACAAGTGAGAGGGTGAGAGAAGATTCTAGAGACTGCCAAGAAGCCACACGGGCTTTGAGCCCAGGGAGGGGAGCAGCAGCCAGAGAGAAAACTGGGCAAGCACCAAGTCCTCCAAGACACAGAGAGGTTAGCAGGGGAACCCAAGGAGGGACCAGGAGCACTGTCAACTCAGGGAGAGACCTAGGGGTCACTTTGAAAAGTCATAGAGATGCCGGAGGTATGTTCAGTCATGGACGATCTAGTGGTGGAAGCCAACAAGAGTCCAGGCGCTCCCTCAGCCCTGGGAGATGTAGGGAAAGCAATTGGAAGAACCTTGAGGAGGCAAGACACTCTCCCAGTCCGGGTAGGCTAATGGAGGGTATTTGTGCGTGTTCGAGTCAAGGAAGGTGCTGTGCTTTTTCAGAGCTGTATGCAGAGAACAACTGGAAGAGCCAAAGGGAGGCGGTGGCTGCAAGGAATCAAAGTGACTGGCCAAGCAAGGAGACACTGAGCTCTTTCACGCATAGCATGAAGGAGAGCAGTGCGTGCAAGTATTGCAATAAATCCTTCTTCCCCACAAGTCTGCCAGTCCCCGAGCAGAGGAGGACTGGCCAAGAACAACTCCCTTGTTCCATGAGACCAGAAAGTAGCTCCAGAAGCCAAGAAGGGTCCTTGTGCCATGTGCATCCAATGCAGCTCTTAGAAAGGGAGTGGCCAAGCCAAGGGGAACAGCAGCACACTACAACACCAGGACAGCTGCCAGTGGAAAGTAACTGGAGAACCCACAAGGATCCGCCAGGATGGGTGGAGGAGGAGCACCAGGAGGAGCAGAGAAGTCCTATGAGACCAGAATTACAAATGGACAACAGCTGGAACAACGAGGAGAAGCTCCTCTACCAGGTACAGACACGATCCTTATTTTGCTCTGCTCTGGAGTGTTTTATAGACCTATCTGTGATTTAGCAAAGATACATTTTTTGACTACAACTACCAGAATCCCATTGTCAGTAGGACTACTAGCCATGTTGTCTGGGGAGTAACTGTCTCCCACTCCTATGGCATTCTGTTGTCACTCAGTACAATTACTTAGAATTGTTCTTTTACGTAGAATCATAGTTGGAAGAGACCTCGTAGGCCATCCAGTCCAACTTTCTGCCAAGAAGCAGGAAAATCACATTCAAAGCACCCTGACAGATGGCCATCCAGCCTCTGTTTAAAAGCCTCCGAAGACAGAGACTCTACCACACTCACGACAGAGAGTTCCACTACTAAACAGCTATCACAGTTAGGAAGTTACTCCTAATGTTCAGGTGGAATCTCCTTTCCTGTAGTTTGAAGCCATTGGTCTACATCCTAGTCTCCAGGGCAGCAGAAAACAAGCTTGCTCCCTCCTCCCTATGACTTCCCCCCAAATATTTATACATGGCCTTCATCATGTCTCCTCTCAGCCTTCTCTTCTGCAGGCTAAACATACCCAGCTCTTTAAGCCACCCCTCATAGGGCTTATTCTCCAGACTCTTGATCATTTTAGTCGCCTCATTCTAGCACATTCTAGCCTGTCAACATCTCCCTTCAATTGTGGTGTCCAGAATTGGACACATTATTCCAGGTGTGGTCTGACCAAAGCAGAATAGAGGGGTAGCATGATTTCCCTGAATCTAGACACTATACTCCTATTGATACAGGCAAAAATCCCATTGGCTTTTTTTGCCACCGCATCACATTGTTGTCTCATGTTTAACTTGTTGTCCACGAGGACTCCAAGATCTTTTTCACATGTACTGCTCTCAAGCCAGGTGTCCCCCATTTGCATATGATTGGATTCAACCCCCCATTCTGTATCTTTGAATTTCATTTTTTCTGCCTAAGTGGAGTATGTTGCATTTGTCACTGTTGAACTTCATTTTGTCAATTTTGGCCCATTTCTCTAATCTGTTAAGATTGTTTTGAATTCTGCTCCTAGGGTACTAGCTATCCCTCCCAATTTGATACAGGAATCTACTGATATGGATTGTGTTGACTATTTATTTTAATAGAATGTTTAATTCTATTTCAGTGTCCATATGTTTTAGGTTACAAATTACACATTGCATTGATAGCCACTTTGGATGTTTTTTAAGAGAGGAAAAGCAGCATCTAAATCATGATGATGATGATTAAGATGTTTGGGTTATGGTGTTCTTTCCTTTGACTTTTGAGCTAAAACATCCTGTGTGTTTGGAAGCATGTCTCCATTGCCATGTGATTAAGGCTTGTTGCTTGGAGATGGAATTATTGGAAGAAAACTCCTCAACTGCAGCTTTCTTTATGCAATATTTCTTTACAGCACCAGTTAGATGGAGGTGAACCACCAAAAAGTACCTGCTCTCCAAGAAGTCACGACCCTTATCTGGATACAAGCAAGAAACACAAGGTAGGCTGGAATCTTAAACCAGAAGGGGATCATGGAGCCTCCATAGATAGTTTCGCTTCAACCCACAACATAGCTCACTATTGGCCATGCCAGCTTGGAGATGAAGAAATAAAGACATCTAAGACTCCTTATTATTATTTTGTAGCCAGCTAGATAGCTTTCTTTATTCCATGATTGTTCATTGCTGACTGTGAACAGGTTCCCGTCAATGTCACCTATTTATCTAGCCTACTTCAGCAAAGATTGTAGGGATTTGAACCCGAGAATGTTTGAATACAAATTGTGTGCTAATTTTAGCTGTTCTCCTCCCTGTCCGAACCAGGCTGTCAGCACTGAAGGTAAAATATTGGATTATCTGTATAGGGCAGGGCCCCCCAAATTGAGGCCCGTGGGCCAGATGCAGCTCTCCAAGGCCATTTACTCATCCTGTGCCATAATCTTTAGGGTGACCCTAAGTCTGCAATGACTTAAAGCACACAACAACAACAATCCTAATTTACTTGACTATCTCATTAGCCAAAAGTGGACCCACACTTCCCATTGAAATACTGGTAAGTTTATATTGGTTAAAATTGCCCCTCATGTTAACTTGTTTCATGTTCTTTTGCACTGCGAATAAGATATGGCTTTTCACTTTATCTATCAGCCCGGTCCTTACAACTGATTTGTAATAGCCTGCCCGCCCAAGCCCAGAAACTGTTTAGTTGTCTTGCTCGATGGTTGTTTTTATACTGTGTTATGTTGATGCTGTTTTATATTGTTTTATGGTGTTGTTTATGAATTTTAGTGTGTTATATTTTAACTATGTTGACCAGGCTTGTTCCCATGTAAGCCGCCCTGAGTCCCTTCGGGGAGATGGAGGTGGGATATGAAAATAAAGTTGTTGTTGTTGTTGTTGTTGTTGTTGTTGTTGTTGTTGTTGTTGTTGTTGTTAGACTAGCTGTCTGTTGCCATGCGCTGCTGTGGCCCATCTGTGTATATGTGTTTTGTGTGTGTATATATTTGGGTATATATGTATTATGTGGTTATGCGCATGCGTTATAATGTATTATTTATTTATTTTGGCTTTTAAAATCTCTTCCACTGTGTTTTTTCAGTGTTTTTATGAGTGATGGTTACTCATTGGCCTGAAAGGTGTATTGTGTCCAAATTTAGTGTCAATTCATCCAGTGGTTTTTGAGTTATGTTAATCCTACAAGCGAACATTACATTTTATTTATATAGATACTAGCTGTACCGACCACATGTTGCTGTGGCCAACCTTCCCTCCCTCTTTCTCTTCTTTCTTTCTCTCCTTCCTTCCCTTTTTTCTTTTTTTCTCTCCTTCCTTCCTTCTCTTCTTCCCTTCCATCCTTCCATCTTTTCTTTCCCTTCCTCTTTCTCCTCTTTCTCCCCTCTCTACCTATTCTTGGACTGCAACTCCCAGCAGTCCTCCTGATTCATCTACCTACCTACCTACCTAACTATCTCTATCTAATCTATCTATCTGGAGGATTGCTGGGAGTTGCAGTCCAGGAATAGGAAATTGGAAATATGCAGGGATTGGGATGGTCTCAAAGAAATCCAAGGAGAGGAAGCTTGCAGCTTGGAAGCAATGCATTTGGATCATCCTCCTCTCCTAAAAGGCCTGGTCTAGGGGATGCCAGGAGCTGTAGTATGGAAGAGAGTGTTGATATGCTATTGTGTGTTTTGGTTGCCAGGGGAAGTTGCTTTTGCGCATGCACTGTAGTGTCTTTTTGCTTTTTTGGCTTTTTAAGTCTCTTCTATGTTTTTCAGTGTTTTATGAGTGATGATCACTTGTTGGCCTGTATTGTGTCCAAATTTGGTGTCAATTCATCCAGTGGTTTTTGAGTTATGTTAATCCCACAAATGAACATTACATTTTTATGTATATAGATGTGCAGTGTGCATAGAAATTCATTCATGTGTTTTTTCAAACTATAATCCAGCCCCCTAACAGTCTCAGGGATCATGAACCAGACCTTAGCTTAATAAGTTTGAGAATCACTGGTATAGGGAGATCCCTTGTAAACCTGGATTAGCATGCAATCCTGGGTAAATATACCCCAAAATAAGTTCCATTTTGTTTCAATGGGACTTACTCCAAAGTATGCTTCTATCAGATTGGTGTGCAAATAAATTTTGTCATAGAGCAAAAGAAGTGCCAAGATCTCCTTCTAAAGTAGTACATTTCAGGCTGTATCTGGTGCCTGGGTGTTGAGCAAGTAATTTTCTATCAATTGATCTGGATTCATGGGACGGGAAAATGGTGCAGTGTGGTGTACTAAACTGTGAAAGGTACTTGGTGCCTGATCTTGGAAATATTATTTTTTCTGACCACAACTTCCATAGTCTCCAGACAGCATGGCTGCTGCAAGATTTGGGTAGTTGTGCTTAAGAAAAGCTCTGGTTCAATATGTATTACTGGGAAATCCAAATAGTATGGGGAATTATTTTTCTTATTGTGCGTGCTGATGTTTCTCTTTTTTATTCTGGAGATAAGTACATTGGCTGAAAGGAAGGGCAAGCACAGTGCAGTGTTTATTGTAAGTGAAAGGCGGGTTGGTTGGCATTTCTGGCCGCTCTCATTGTGTCGAATTCACATACTTTTCGTAAGGTGTCCCTCCACCCCTCCTGCTTCTGAACAAGCCTCTGCTCGAAATGCAGCTGCAAGAGAATGATATGTATTTTCCTGGGTGCCTTGGGCAAACCTAGCACCTGCACCTCTTTTCTTCCAGACATAGCTTCTACCCCGACTGAATCTGCAGCATGCTTCAATCACAACAGCAGTCAAGGACATAGCTTGGGAGGTCAATTAATCCCTTATTCAGAGACTAAAGTGTCCCAAGGCCAGATTGTCAGCAGGGAAAAGCCTTGGTTGAGCCTTGAGATTATATTCTGGGCTTCACAGTCAACAACATTTCCAGATAAATTGGAGGAATCTTTGCAGCTGTTTGGTCTGTCTCAAACTAAACAAATTAAGTCATAACTAAATACCGAGGCACATCTTTGAGTGGTGTGATCATGCAAGGAATTGGGCTCAATTAGCATTTTTCTAGAGTTACTGTTAAACCGATGTGGGGCAACTTTGGCTTTCCATATGTTTCAACTAGAACTTCTGCAATTCTTTACTTTAAGCTGCAGTGGGCAGGGCTTCTCGGAGTAAAGTTCGCACCACATCTGGAAGGATGCCATAGAAAATCAGCATCTTTCATGACAACTTACATTGTGGATTGATGGTGGGAGGAGACCTATATAGTGAATGATCATGTCTTGACTTACTATGGCATTGTCCTAGATATTCTTTTGATGTCTTCCCACTCTGTGATTATACAAGAAGAAAAGCTAAAATTATGAAATTCCTAATATCTAGGGTAACATGGGAGTATTTTTCCTTGTATAATAATATTCCTGCAGAGGAAATGTTTTATGCAAATAGTGTTGATTGTGAGATATTAGTGTTCTACATGCATTTTAAATTTCTATGGCCTAAATCCAATTGGAAACGGAACTAGAATACACACAGTAGTTCCGTCTACACACAGTTGAAATGTATGTAGTGGTTTGAAGGTTGTGTTAGGGCATGTAAAAATCAGTTGGTGAGTGTGTTAATTGAAAATGCAAAGCACAAAGCTGATTGGTTGAGCCATGCTAGATGAGCCTGGGAGTTTTGGCATCAGTTATGTATTTAGGCTTTACCTGTGCAAGAGTTTACAAAAGAGACAGTTCTTGCTTCATGTGCTGCTGGAAGACAATCTTCCACATGGATACCTAAAAGCCATTTGAATCTCTCTAAAAGGACATTGTGTGAGTCAGTGCAACTGTTCTCATATGATTGTATATATGATACTCTTCATTACAAAGAGTAAACTCTTTGTTCTTTACTGATCATCTGCATGGCATATTTTCTTTCTCTGGAAAGACACTGTGTGGACTGGTAAAACGTGAACTATGTATAATTTTCATTCGGCCACAGGTTGGACTAGGGCTCTGGGAGACCAGGGTTGAGAGTTCACTATTGAACCTTAGTCTGAGGAAGGAAATAGTAAACCTTCACTTAAAAGTCTTGGCAAGAAAATGCTGTAACAGGTTTGTCATAAATTCTAGTTGACTTGAAAGCGCAGAACAACAACAAATCCAAGCAATTGATCTGTTTAGTTCAGGGCTCCCTTTTGTGTGTTGTCATGGGCAACGTTTAGATGGTTGGATGAAAGAACCTTTTAAACATGGAGGGTCAACTTGCGGAATTCAGAATTATCACTGGTGATGTCTAGGGATGGGTCATGAATGTTATGACAAGCAACTCACAAAATAAAAAAGTATGCTGCAATTGAAGCACAGGAATACATTTGGGAATGCACATTCTCATCATGACATCCCCATATTCATCTCTCGAAGAAGAGTTCATACCATAGGTATGTGACACATACCTATGTGTTGATTGGTGTCAGCACTCCAATTTTAGCGGTTTTCATCTTGGCTACGAGCACATCTTTTTTTAAAGCTAAGGGCATTGGTTACCTATTCAAGACTTGATGTGTCACATAATAGAAACAATACACAACAAACACTACGTTCTTTCTGTAAAAATTATTTTCCCCTAGCTTCAGGCAAGATTAGGAGGACCAAAGATGTCTAAGGGATGGCGGGTTTTATCAACAACTGTGCTGATCAAAAAATCCTGGTATGCACTGGCTCCACTGTGCTGGATAGTTAAAGTGAGATGGGTAACTTAAGCTTAAGGTGGAGGTAGGGAAAGTACTTTGCTGGAACAGTCACAGCGCCTGGCAGATGGGAGGCAGGGGCAGATGCTTAGCTCCTATTGCTTGGTCTGTTGAACAGTATTGTTGATGTTAAATGCAGCCTATTAAGTATCTGCTGAATTGAGGTAAGAAAGCAATTAATTCTTTTCTCTAACAACAACAACAACAATATAATAGGTTCTTGTGGGTTTTTTCGGGCTATAGGGCTATAGGGCCATGTTCTAGAGGCATTTCTCC